GGGCAAATACTGGTAGGTAAGATTGCAAATGGTATCTATTTGCCTGAATTCAAATTGAGATTCAATTGGTCCAGACAAGTTCAAGTCTAACCTAAAATGTGAATGAAATCATTCTGGCCAACAAGGGCCAGAGTAGGGTGGGGCTCAGGGATCCTTGGAGCTGGGATTTCCAGTTCCACCAGGATTTCCAGTTCCCCATTGCCATTCCTACCCATAAACAAAGGACTTTCTTTCTCCTCATATTCCTAATTCTTATTATGTTACTCTCTCTCTCTCTCTATAGTCTATATGGCAAACCTTTCATACATGACTTTAACTTCTCATAAAGATGAAATGGGATTCATGTAGCCTAACTCATATGGTTGGGACAAAGCTTAGATGATGACGACGATGACAACGACGATAAACCTTTTCCTACTTTGGACAGTCTATGTGGTACAAGTACATTCCTCCTTTGGATATCCATTTCATGAATTATCTGAATGCCATTACATTTATTCATGAATCCAAAAATAGCCTCCTATTAAAAATTTAGTTGTAGTCAAGAAAAAGAGGGAAAATTTAGATTTTATTTTATTTTTCATTTTTAATCATGTTAATGAATAATATATTGGGAAAACCCACACTCACTGGTATTTTTAATAAATACAATTTGATTGGTTATCACTTATATGATACTAATTGATTGGTTATAAGTTTTCCTTTTGATATCATAGTTGTTTATTGATATCATATAAAATATTATAAAATATTGAATTTATTAATCGTTAACTTTATAATTTAATTAGATTCGGATCTTAATCGGATCAAAAAGAGGTTAAAGGGTTAAATCCATTGATAACCCTAATCACACATACACTACTCCGAATGTGATTCATGAAATATATCAAACCCGTTTTGTATTTAGTTGTCATTTTGTCAACCCAAAATCACTAAGTAGAGATGTTATACGGGATCAAATCTTGGGGCAATCTACTCCACAATCAAAAATCAACTATTTGGACCGCTTTTGCATTTTGACCAATTTCCATTATTAATAACAATAATTTCATCTGTCACATTTTTTTTTTCATATGATAAATATATGGTATTAGAAGATGCTGTTTTTCTATATTTTATCTATTTATTTTTTTTTATATTTTTATTAGAGTTGTTTACTAAGACACCCCTATAGATTCACATAAATACTAAGACCTACCCTATAGTTTGCATATTAAAACACCCCTCTACTTTGCAACTGCTTCACTTAATGCACTTCCAGTTAGAATTTTGTAACAGTTTTTATATTCATTTGGTTATGGTTTTTTATTCTAGAAATATCCATAGAAAGTCTAATAGTACGCTTTTAGAAATAAAACCCTTCTCCCACATTGTTTTATTCCAAAAAGAAACAAAAGGTAATATAAAACAGAAAAAAAAAACAGCAAAGCAGAATATATAGCAAAAATAAAAATAAAAGTAAAATAGACAATAATAGAGAAATAGTTTCATTGTCAATTTTATTTTATTTTTATTTTCTGTTGTCTTCCTTTAATTTCTATTTTAGTTTATTAATTTCTTTTATTTTTCTTATTAATGTCTACTTTATTTATAATTCTTTTTTATTTAAATTTAAAGTTTGGTTATTTCTTTTGTTTTTTAAGTATTTTGGTCGAACAAGCATTAGGGTAAAAAATGTAATTTTACATTTTCATCTAAGAGAACCAGTGATAAGTGAAGTGGTTGCCAAGTAGAGAGGGTGAACCGTTGACCTGCCACTTAGATAGAAAAGTTGATCCATTTCTAGGTTCATTTTTAAAACATTTGTTAAAAATGCTTTGTATCTAGTAATGATATTTAATGTCATATTTGATCAAGAGAAGATTGAGTATGTGCTTAATGAGGTAGTGGGACTTAACAATTCAAAAGTTAGCAGTATTTTAATGGGCACTCAAAGTTTTCATTTTGCAATTAATGTGGATGAGATAATTAATAATAACATTATTGTCATGGTTTTTTTTTATTAATTTTGGATAAATTATAGACAGCTACCATCATGTACTTAGGGGTAATCACTAGTCATGACTAGACCTGTTCATGGGCTGGGCCGGGTCGGGCTTTCACTCTGTATTAATAAATTTTTCTAAGGCCCAAGCCCGGCCCGACCATCGGGCCTACAACTTGGGCCCGAGCTCGACCCTCATAAAAATCTCAAAGCCCGGGCCTGGGCCCGAGCCCGAATTTAGCCCATGCTGTTACTATTGCTGAAGCGGCTGAATAGAGATAGAGAGAAGAGAGAAAAATTATAAAGAAAAAAATAAAAAAATGTATATATTAAATTATAAATATATTTATTTTAATAAATATTATATTATTTATATATTTTATATAATATATAAAATACATATTATGTATTTTATAAAATATATAATATTGAGTCGGGCCGGGCCGAGCTTTTTTGACAAATCCCGAGCCTGGCCTGAAACACAGTTGGACTTACTGTGTTAGGCCCGAGGTCAGGCCCGTGGGCCTAATTACATGATCAAGCCCAACCGGGGTGCGGGCCGGGCCATTGGGCTACCCGGCCCATGAACAGGTCTAGTCATGACACTTAGCTCTTTGAACTTTTGGATTCTAACTCTTTGCCCTTGCCATTACATTTTATTAGTTAATTTCATGGAATATTTCTTTAGAGATTTCTAAAACTCTAGACTATCCCTTGTGTTATTTTATGATAGCATTTTGCCCTTTTTGACTTAGTTTATTTTTTCCCTAAAATCCTAGCGTTCACTTATTTCTCTCAACTTTCTTTCAACACAGTTCATCTTGCACCTTGAAACTAATTAATTTATCAATAATGCCTGATTTGGAATGATTATTTTCATCATTTTGATATTTGTTGTTGTTGGTTCATAAAATTTCCAATGAACAATTTAGTAATTTTACTTTCATCAATAACTTTGCTGGTCAGGGGTAAAGTGATGGAACTTGGAAGTTTGGGTGTCTTTATCACAAAACAAAATTCATGGACTAAGTATTACTCCCTAAATACAGGGTGGCTATCTGTAATTTATCCTTTATTTTTTTTTTTTAAATATCAGCATCTAAAAAAGCTTTGAAGAGGTCTTGAGGCAAGATGATGAAGAAAGAGAAGTTGTCAACATTGACTGAGTGAAGTTAAAAGTATTGATACTCTCAAAACACAATTTTCCATGGAAAAATTCTTCTGATTGAAACACAGTCTTTTTTTTATTATTATTTTGGTTTAATAACTTGGACATGCATCATGTCACATAAAAAATGTAACCATAAAAACCCCTAAAAACAATTGAAATAACCCATATTGGTCGATACACACTGCCATATTTTGATATTTTGAACATTTTACTTAGTCCTTTTATAAATATAATATAGTTGTATTGTATGTGTGTATGAATTCAATTTTTTTTTTTTTTGAAAATTTGTTGCGTTATAGTTGTACTGATGTCTTTTAATTTCTTTGAATGTTTAAAAGAAATTTTTTGAATGTTATTTCCAATGATTTTCTCGGAAGAGAAGCCATATTGGAATGGGGTTATTCAATATATCGTTTCTTTCCTGTTTTAAGTTTCTCTAACACTGCACAGGACCCATGGATGGATGTAGACCCCAAAAGTTATCAACATCCTAGATAATGTCAATCCAATTAGACCATTGGCTTTAAAAGATGAGCATAATCTTATCATAATATCAAATTATTTTTTTTCTGTTATGGAAGTTATTTTTGTTTTTCAAAACAAAACCATTCATATTGAAGAATATCCCCTCAGACCTTAGTCCTCTGTTTTGTACATTAATTAAGGGAATTCTTGCCAATATGCAGGATTTTGTTTTTCAAAACAGAAACAATCATCATGTCAAAAAAATGATTTTACTGATGCAGTGTTTTTTCTTTGGTTTCAAAAAACAAAACCTTATACATTAATGAACACCCTATGGAATTCTTTTGTTAAGCTTTAAAACAAACCATTTGAGTATATTTAAATTTTAGATGGTGTTTGGTTCGGTTGCTATTTATCTGAAAAACGGCATCAACTTAATTTTACATAGATATTTTTTTAATAAAATTTTAGAATGCTATTTAATTAAATTATTTATCAAATAAACGTTTGTCTTGATTTATGTGAAAGCCTGGAGCTTATTTTTAATGTTCCCCAACACTAAGGCATGTATTCACTATATGCCTAATGGCATTTAATGGCACAAACTGTCAAAAATACATTTCAACCAATTTTCTAGTTTTTCCAAGATGAATGCCATACAAAACGTTTGACATTGGGACTTAACAGCTCCTTAAAAATTGAATGATTACAGTGAATTTTGTAATCCAATTTTTGGCAAAACTAATTGAAAAAGCTATAATGTCAAGGAGGAAGGGATGCATCTGATTATGGGTTTTTGATCCTTGAAGCATTGCACTTGTGGGAAACCATGGGGCCCAAAACCATTTGTGGGCTTTGATAGGTTGTCTGAATTTGCAAATTTGGACCCCAACGAGATCAGTAGTTCAGTACAAGCTTATCAGTACTCACATCCCAAGTGAACCTTAACCCAACTAAACAAGAGGGGATGAGCTGAGATGAGCCGAGGCAAGCAAATTAAATCCCCATCTACTCAATTAGCTGGCAGTGACCCAACCTAGGGAGGGCATAGCCATGGTTCAATGGAATCATAGACCTTCAGTCATCCCTTTACAGTCATTTGCTTGTTTATTTCTATTTTTTTCTGGGTGACATTTACTGTATAGGATATAGACAGTTATGGGTTGTTTTGTTTGGCCATTTCCTACATCCCCATATTCTCCAACATTACAATTAGCAATTAATTAATTTCTGCAGAAAAATGAACAATACTAATTTTAGAATCCAACTTGGATTAAACAAATGCTCTGGGAGTAAACAAATAATCAAAAGGAGGATCAGCCACTGTATTGGCAATAATTTATTATTACTGCACATAATATAAAGGCTTGCATGAAAGCTTAGGTTCATTGGCTGCTGCCGTGTAGTTCCATTACACTTTCTAGCATTTATCGCTTCTGTCCTCTCTCTCTTTTTCTTTTCTCTCTCTCTTGGGTCGTCTTCTCTCTTTCCCCTCGGCTTGATATTATACCGACAGGTCTCCTGTCAAATGGGGCTTCTCTCGTTATGGCTTATGCTTAGAATTCGGAGCTGCTTCGCCTTCTGAAATGTGGGTATTCTCTTATGGAGGTGCAGACGTAGAGGCAGTAGATGATCTTGTGTCTTATCAGAGTCTCTGGTTACCTACTACTGATGTACTTGTTTTGTCTTCTTCTTCTTCTTTTGAGTTTCTGGTTTGTGCTGGGTTATTTTTTCCATTTGGGCTTCCCTTCTTTTTATCTAATGGATTGAAGGTTTCTTTAGTAAAGTGGGTTCATGCAAATTTTGATCTCTCTCTCTCTCTCTCTCGTTCGCTCACTCGCTCGGTATTTCTATCTGTATGTTTGAAATGGGTTTTGTATGTTGAACCGTAAGGTTATATAAATATTTTAGAATTTTGCCTCTTTTTTGTGATACTTTCTACTGATTTATGGATATGTGAATTTATTCTTTGTTTAATTTCTCAACTGGCGTTCCTTAGTTTGAATGCTCTCACTGTTTTTTTTGGTCATATCACACTCTGACTGATTTCAAATGATTTTTCTTATTGAAGATTATCCACAATTTGCTTCCTGAAATACCCTGTTTTTTTATGGGTTTTTATTTGGAATCATTTTGGTTAACTTGCAAGAGAGCTTCTGGTTGCAGGTTATTAGGTTGAAACAGGAAAGTAATTTTACCCTGCAAGACAATAGTTCGGATTTTCTCTCGAGGAAATTCAGGATGCAAACTCTTTGCTTCAAAGAACATGGAGGAATTGCCCACAATTCTGCTTCTCAGTTGTCTCCATTTGCTTCAGTTCCCTGGTGGAGTTCCCTTGGATCACAACCGCCCTACGGCGAGTCATTTGGTCAATTGAAGTCTTTCTCTTTGGACAATCCTAGTGGTGGAAACCAACTTACCGCTGCTCCTCCACAAGCTCAGCTTGGTACAGACCATGGACAAGGAAAGGACAGCTATAGTACTGCTCATTTCACCATCTTTCCTGGTAATCTTCCCCTTAATGCTCCTTATGACATGCATGAATCTTAGTGATATTTCTGTTTGGGTTCAGTAAGCAAATCCAACAATGGCATAAAATTGTATAATTATCTTCTATATCGATGTGTTATTTTCCTTCTCTGTTCTAGCATGTTTGACCAGTCTTCATAATGAATTTCTATTGTGTTTTCTTCCTCTAGTATTAATGGGAAATATAGGGAAATGGTGGACTCGTGTTAGTCATTGTTTTCAAATGTTCGAGGTAAGGTTTCTTCTAGGATTAGTCAACAATAATTCATCATATAGACAGACCTGTGGGACTCAAAGTGTAAAGCTGCATGCAGTAAGAAAACTCCCAACTGCACATCGGGTCTATGGGATGGATGGGCCTTACAATATCTTGTGGCCTTTATCTTGATAATATTATGGTTTCTTCTAGTCTCTCGCATCATTTTCTTGTTTTAGTTTGCTATTTGGAAAATGGTACTAGTTTGCTAGTACTCGTGATCAGAACCTTTGGTTCAAGCCAGTCCTCAAAAACATAAAATAATTTCTGATATATCTTTTCTAGAAGGTGGGGTATACCAGATGTTGCTATGATCTACAATGTTGGAGAAGACGGAGCACCATTTCAATTGTAGTGAATTTTGTATGGTCCAGTTCAAAAGTTGTTTGAGCACCCTTTAAACTTGACTCCATTGGTTTTCTTGTTTGGTTTCTTGTGATTTGTGTTCTTGTTGTCTGTTATGTTGCTTCCTTTTTCTTTGTTTTATGAATATCCCTCTTTTTCCAAAAAGAAAAGTGACTTACTGGCAGAAATACCTGAACTGCTTTGCACATGAAATATTAGTTATTAAGTTGTGTTTCCCTATTGTTTAGGAGTCCATAAAAAGATAGAAAGGAGGAAACACTAATATCCTATAAGATGCAATGCACTTATTGTATAGTCTTTTTACTTATTCCATGAGTGGCGAATTCAGTAGCTTCAATATTCCCACAACAGAAGGTGTTGAATTCAGTATGAGATCTACCAATTGGTACTCTTATAGTGATTTGAAAATTCTGTTTATGATATTCTTTGTTGGGTGCCACTAATTTTTCTTGGTTTTCTCTCAAGAATAGTGGAATGGCAAAAGCATTCTGCCTAGTGGTTGGAACATTTCTTCTTAGGTTTTACCTGTCCTAATATTTGAGCAGAAGACCAGGATATTTTTAATGTTTCTAGATGTACACATTGTTTGATTAATTTAATCTTATCCAATTTTCTCATAATGCATCACAACCAAAGGAAGAAGAAAACACATGCTTTCATTAATGTCCAGGGGTCCTATATACCATATATACAAGGAAACCTACTTCCCACATGCAATACTTTTTTCTCATGACATTTTTTAGTGCATTTCCTGTCTCCATTTGGTAGGACCTTCTCCTACATAATACTTCTTTTTTCTGCTTTTATTTTTCTTTTCTAGGAACTATGGTCTTCTGTGTACACAATTTTCTATATATGTTCAACTAAAAAAAGAAATTTCTATATATGAGTCTCCAATTTGACTGTTAACTGATCAGTGAAAAAGCTTATCATTCAGGTGATAGCAGGGATTCCGGGAAGGGGAGCAAGCCTCAGCAAATTCCATCAACCATTGCTCGACAATCATTCCCACCTGATTATCAAGTGCGTGTTGAATTAGGACTTGGTCAACCAATGGTAAGGTTCCTTTTCCCTTTCCTTGGCCTTTGACCGACTTGATTTACTCTTGACAATCTTGATAGTACTTGATTGTTTTTTTATGTAACTTTTTGTTGTTGTTTGGGTTTTTATGTACTGATATACTTGTGGATTTTTTTTTGACATATCTGTATTGTCAATCTTCAGGCTTGTGCAAATTATCCTTATATGGATCAATGTTATGGAATCTTTACAACTTATGGATCTCAGACAGTGGTTAGTTTCCTCCTTTCTTCTAGTTCTTATCATTGTTTAGGAATTTATTTATGTCTACTACTTGTATGGTTCATTTGGAAGGAAGTGATTGTTGAGAAAAAGGAAAATCAGTTAATACCTTAAATATAGGACTTGATAAGAGGGAATGGAATGAGTTTAATATTAGTAGTTCAAATTATGTTTTTTGCCCTTATAATTAGGGATGCAAACGGATCAGATCGGATTCAAATCAGGGTATATCCAAATCCGATAAGGCACTGTTCATGCCAGAAACAGATCCGATCCGATCAGATCTGATGTGTCTCGATTTGAATTCGAATCCTATCGGTAAGTTGGATCTTCGGATCTGATCTGATCCGACTTTTTTTCTTTAAAGTTAATAAAGTATTAAAAGAAAAATAAAATATACCAATTTAAATAAATAAAAACAAAAAATACAAGTATTTTTAATTATTTTCATCATATATATATGTGTGTTGTTTATAAAAAAATAAATAACATAACAAATTTTAAAAAATATAATATAAATATATAACATCTACCGGATTGGATAGGGGGTGATCCGAATCTGATCTGATCTGAAGATCCGAACAGGGGTGATCTGAATTCAACCAAATAGGGTCAGATCTCAGATCGGATCGGGATCCAATCCATTTGCACCCCTACTTATAATAAAGAGGGACCAAATTCAACAATAGGGGCATTTTAGTCAAGAAAATTCTAGAATCTAAACATCATTCCAACTTTTAATAGTAATATACATATGGATTAATTCATTCATTTCATTGCAGAATTGTGGTGTGCTCTATGTATGCTCAAAAGTGATAAAACAAAAATTCACTAACATTTTATGTAAATTAGCTGAAGCAGTGTATTAATATGACATTTCCCCATTTTTTTCCTAGTAAATTCAAAAGAATATTTGGCAACTCTAGAATAAGAATTTCTTAAAATATTTTGCACATCTTTTTACAAGCTTTCTCTTGTAAATTGTTCACTTTGTCAGTTTTACAACTTGGAAATCTTCGAATTTAGATTTCTCCATTTAAAGCCATACTAAAAAGATAATTAAAAGATGGGAAATGATAGATTCTATATGATGAGACTACTCTGTTAAGTATATAGTACATTTGTGAACTTATGACAGTCTTCTTGGATGACATTTTCTAAAGCTATACTAAAAAATATTGTTTATCCATGTAGCACTGGTTCGGCTTCCACAGTTCCACCAGTAAATTACTCTGTTTTGTCTTGCATTTTGAATTTTTAATTTCCAGCTGTAGTAAACATAATATAATTAAAAAAAGAAACAAAATATGGTAGATTGATGTAGGACAGAATTAAAGGCTTCTATTTTATGGACCCAAAATTATGATACATGGATACCAAGCTGACACATGCTTAGCACTCTCATGTTGACACAATACTAAGACTGACAAAGCATTACTGCACACATAGAAAGAATATGGGCTTATTATTCTCAAACTATGATGCAAGGTCAGCCAACTCCTTAGCAGATGGAGGGGCTAAATGGTTAACGGGAATCAAATGTTCTGTGGTATTGTATCAAATAGAGGGACTGTGTAAACTATGCAGGGTTAGCTGAGATTAACGACCCTAAAGGGGTGGAAGGCACTTTACCATTTTAATTACCTCAATTCCAATTAGTAAAATTGTTTTCACTGTTACCCATTCCCCCCCCCCCAAAAAAAAAAAAAAAAAAAATCAAACTATTATGCCCAGATACGGATATGGACATGGACATAGATTTGGGTACAGGTGTCTCATGTTATATTACTAGTTTTTGAAGCTAAATGTCACTTCTCAATACTTATAACTGGCCAATTTAATTAAATTTCTAACATGTGCAGATATTTTTGTCGTATAATTTGTTAAAATTTACCATTTTACATATTATGAAAGTATTAATGCTAAAAAGTACATGTAGAAATATCCATGCAATATCCTATATTAAATCCAATTAGTACCAGATACAGTACTGGTAAGCTAGGCACATAAATATATCCAGGTAAATAGTTTTTCAAATGTTATTCTGTTAACTCGTAATGGTTTATGTATTCATTTTTTTTCTAGAAAAAATATATGCATGGTTCATGGAACTGTTAGGAGATCTCTTTATTTATGTATATGTGTATATATCTGAAGACTTGATGGTACACTTGTTTGGGCAGTCTTGTTGACTACTGAGTATTCCTTTCCCTTTGTCATGTGGTTCACTTTCTTTCTTTATAATAAGGTTTTCGTTCTAAATTCTCCTTTCAACCTTATTATTTTTTGGGAGATAAATGGCAACTTTGTAGTATGTTAGCAGATCAATAGTTGTAGCTTTTACTGATGAAAGTGATATCAACTAGAGTGTAAAGCCTAGGCATGGAAGCTGATTCAGGTTTTTCAATTTCAAGATGAATCAGGGACGGGTGATGTTGCCATTGAATATGACAGAAGATGGACCCATTTATGTGAATGCAAAGCAGTACCATGGAATCATTAGGCGTAGGCAGTCTCGTGCAAAGGCAGAGATGGAGAATAAGTTGATCAAAGTTCGGAAGGTACCGCACTCAACTGAACCAAGGAAAGTGAATTTTCATTTCTGAAAGTTGCAAGAAGAAAATCAACCATCTTTTGTGGTAGAATGCCACTTCCTTAAGAAAAGAACAATTCTACCCACCCTTGTCACAAACTGGTTTCTGACCCACATTATATCTTAGGTTGTTATGATTAGATCATCCTAATTATCTGAGTTATTTGACTCCTTTCTGGATTATTTACCAATATAGTTATCCTGAATGTTGAAGACAGTGATAGTGTAGTTGGTTTGGGTAATGCAGCCACCATGATCTTGGTGGACTGAGATATCTTAACTATGAACCATAAAATGGCTCCTCCAGCCATATTAATCTTACTGATCTTGTGCTCCACAGCCATATCTGCATGAGTCACGCCATCTTCATGCAATGCGTCGAGCAAGGGGATGTGGTGGTCGCTTCCTGAACACAAAGAATACAAATAGTCAAAAGGGTACGAATGACACAGGCAAAGCAAGCAATGTTCAGTCTTCTGGGTCTCCAACCTCTGAAGTTCTGCAATCTGAAAGTGCGAATGCAAACACATCAAGAGAGGCATCCGTTGGTGCAGGGTTGGAGGTGACTAGTTTGTACTCTAGAGGAAATTTCGATCGTTTTCACATTGATCGTCTCCATCCATCTGCTTTCCATTCAAATATTGTTGATAGTGGGCAGGGTATGGGAATAACCAGCAAGTGGGTTGCAGCAGCAGATGGCTGTTGTGACCTTAAAGTTTGAATGCAAGGATAAAAATGGGGTTGTTTATGTTTTACCATCGGCTTGTTTGGGCTCTGATAAGATGTAGGCAGGAAGCTCAACAGCTGTGTATTCCACATGAACAATCCCATCCTTGCCTCAACTGAATGGAGGAGCTCTGTTGCATTGCTGTTTGTGGTTACTGCAACAGGTTCTGGTCGAGGGATGGTCCCTACCGCCATTTGGTTGTTATCAAAAGGCAATTCATTCTTGGCTTTCTCTGCATTGAGGCCCCTGTCAACTCAAGGCTGTCTGTGTCTCAGGGCTGTCAAGAGTGCTGGGGTCCTTTATGTATTGTAAAAAAAAAAAAAAACAGAAGAAAACTGAACCAGTTAAGAGCCCCATTTGGTATGTTCAAGTTTACGAGTTTTAAAAGACAAGAAAGTTTGGTTGTGCTTAATGCTGATATTTGTTTGGTGTTGTGACTTAATTACAATGGCTAGTGTTTGGACTTCTAGTTTTGACTCGGTAGCAAGATAATATAAAAGACTGCTGTGTTATGCAGTTGTCCATCTGCAAGCTTGCAGGTGCTTTGCTTTCTACTTTTTCTTTTTGTGGATTGGGAACGATTCACATCAGAAGAAAGTGACAAATGGGAGCTTCAAAATCAGAAGAGAACGGAAAAACCCCATAAGGTCATAATCAATTCCAAACGCTACCATTTCCACAGCACGTGCTGTGAATTGGGCTCCGATCCATTCGACCCAGTGACTTGGTTCCAGAACTCAAAATCAAAAGAGGGAAAGAAACAGGAAAAGAGATCCTGTAGTTTGCTGGCTGGAATCGGTGGGAATCTGTTTCGATCAATCCCCAGTTCCTCACTTCCACAAGTCCGGATCTGGTGGGATATGGCTGTGAGGTCGGTGTGAAGAGCATTCTGTGAGGTGGAGATCCCAATTCCACTTTCACCAGCTTATGCTACTGTTTGGAGCACTTTGACTTGAGGGGGAAAAAGGGTTTAATCTTTCCTTGGAACTTGGAAGGGCCATTTGATCACAAGTCTCACCAAGGTAAAATAGAAGATCCTTGGAGAGTTTAATTTTCAAGTGTTTTGTGGAAGATCAAGTCAATCTAGAGTAAAACAACCAACAAATCCCTCTTTCTTACAAATCTGAGATGCTAAGAAGAAGATTGAAGACAAGTACATGTTGGGTGGTTTTAGGGTTTCAGGTTCTAAGTGTCAAATACTCTTGATATGAAAAAATTGCATATGAAGAGTTCTGATCAATTGAAACTTTTTTTTTTCATTTGACAAATTTTTTCATGGTTATGATATATTCTCTTATAATGTTTAAAAGCCACTGAAATAGTCTAAGGAAGCAGTGTATCGATGAATCTGTAAATCAATGCATTGTGATATTTTGAACCTTATTTCTAGTCTGTCAGGATGTACTGATCTTCAAGATTTTTGTTCAAAAGCCACTTTAGAATTTCAGGTCTCCAATGAAATCCTGAAGAAAACGACTCCTAAACCCTTCAGATAAGAAAGATATGAGTTCAATTAAGGTGTATGCATTAATATTGGTTGCACGATAAATCCAAATCTCAACCAATCATGTTAAAATTTATTTATTTTTTATTGATTTTACATTTCACAAAGTGTATTTTCATCTTTAATAAGGTATACTAACCATCGCGTTCAACCAATCACGTTTTCTGCTACATGGGACAAGAGATGCACCATAGGTTTTGCTCAGAGATATTTATACAAATAATTGAATTGGACCCTAACATATCAACGATCACTATGAGCCTTGCTTCTCTCCTCCCTTTTGTCTCTATTTTGGAGGAAGAAATGATGCATCGGTTGGGCCTGGTTGGCCCTACATCCATTACAAAATTAATCATACATTCAAATTTGTTTTGATTTATCAATCAGATATTCAGATCCTGAAAGGTTTGGATTCGAATTGGGTAGGTTCAATATCCAATTCATTTGTAGCTCTAAATAATCTCATATGTTTATTAAGGAGTTTGGATACAAGGTAAAATTTAAAAAAAAAAAAAAAAACAAATGGTGAGCATATGATATGAAGACCTATAATATTCCTGAACAGTCCAGATTGGATTTTTCTACAACTGTCATAAAAAAATGTTTTTTTCCTGTTTGGGTTATTAACTAAAATTCCCTTTGGGATCATTTAATATTAACCTGATTTTTAAAAACCTTTAGAGACCTTCATTGTCAGAGAATTTTTGTTATATAAAACTTACCTTCCGGCATGTCACCGTTAGTAGCCACTAACGGAAGTTATTCAGAGCTAGGCTATTAAGTGTTTTTAATGACCAAACTAACCCTGATTTTCTGTTAAATAATTGCTCAAACAAGAAAGTAGGTAAAAAAAAACTTATATCCATCCTCCAACTCAAAGGTCCCAAGCCCGTTTGGACAAAGAGATCAACTCCCAAATCTCAAATTGAGGGGTATAATAAATTTCATCCTTTCCATGGTTTTTAAAACCGACCTGGAGGCCGAAACGGTTAGGAGTCCGGTTACCGGGTCGAAGGTCGAACAGTCTGCCTATTCTGACAAAAAAATAAAAAATGGTCAAAACCGTTCGAATGATTAACTACTAGACGGATGCTCCAAGTCCAACAACTCTCTCCATTAGTTCTTTTAGTAGGTGAGGAAAGAGTTACACAAGAGAAGGGACGTAGCACCCCAAACATTAAGAAAATGATAAAAAGAAAAGAAAAACAAGATTTATAACTTCATTTAAAGAAGAGGGTGAAGCACGAGCCAAGTTAACCTAATTAGCTTCTCTTTCTCTCTCTCTCCTATAAAAGGCATAAAATATCTTTTGTTAACTCTATGTTTAGGTGGAATCCATTTGACCCACTTAATGGTTTTGGTCCTACCCTTCTCTTCCTGATGATGGGATTTTCTGCAGCAAGCAAAAGTTCTGCACACACTGCAAAAGCATGGAAATCTCGCCCTATATTTTCAATGTGCAGCTGGATGCTATATGAGAAGAATTTTTGCTTGCAGGAGACCCGAGCTCCTCATCTAGGAGTACGCTTGCTTCCATACATTCACTATAAATGAACTCTGCTTTATGAATAATTTAAGGACTAAAGGACTTCTTTTTAAATATTAGCTCATTCCTAAATTTAGGTTTTCTGTTTCTCTTGAAGAAAGAGCCAAAGGAACACTTAACATTTGGAGCAACAACGATTTTCTTTAAGCCAATTAAATCATCCAAAGAGATGCTTTGGCTGCATTTGGCATTCCTTATTTTAAGGACATATCTCGTTTTTGCAATTAAAAACTCAGTGTTCATAAGGGCATTTTAAGGGCAATCTCAAAGTCTAGTTTTTGAATCGAGTCATTTAGGAGTGTTTACTTTCAGCCTACCAAGTAAGGTTTAAAATATCAATACATATCGCATTATATTGTGCATATCTTATTGATATCCAAAGTCACCAATAGTCAAAATACTAGGAGATTGGGGGGTTTAAATGCGGAAATATTAAATTGGCATTCCTCTCCACGATGAGGAGATAGTTTTTTGTTCTTTCTGCTTCAAGCAAACCCCATTTTGCTGGTTTACTAACCAACCGAGGGCTGGATCACTGGTGTATTAACTAGTTTGTTCCAGCATTGACACGGAATTGAATCCCACAACTAGCATTTTGGGGAAAAAGGGGTAGAATACAAAAAAAAAAAAAAACCTTTTTGTTTCACAACATTTCGTGGGCCATGGCTCAGATATACTAAGACTTGGACCCAAATGGAGGTCCATTTTGACTTTTATAGGCCTATCTAACCTAAGAGGAGCATTCTTTTTAAGAAAGAGCTCTTTTTGTTTTTTGTGAAGAGGGAGGATGAGCTACACAAGAGCAAGTTGCCCTGTATCTCATTATCAATTTCACAAATTTTTTCCACCACTCCCTCATAGACGTGTTCTCATCTCTTTGAACCAGATTGACATGATTCATATGCATCATTAGCTAATTCACATTTTGAGAAGACATGAGTGCAATCTTCCAAGTCTCCACAAAAGCAACAATCACAACAAACATTCATTTCCTTTCTAGATAACAAAGGTCTAGAAGGAAGACACTCGCTAATTATTAGGTGAAGCATTTGAGTTTAGGAGGGAAGTTCAGTTTCCACATGATCCTCTTCTCTAGAGTTCTCATAGAGGATTTTGCCAAACCTTTTGCAATCTTGTATGCAGACTAGAACTCTCCCCTTGGATTTAGCTTCCACAAAAGTGTCATGTTTATCCAATGGAGGGAGAAAAATGGCCTTGATTTTTAACAGAACTTCCGGAGGTAACAAGGTGATGTTTGGCTGATTTTAATGATTTTCAAGAAAACGGCCAAAAATCAATTCTTGAAATCCGCCCTTTTCAGGAATCACCCTTTCTGAGGATTTCCTGAGTTCTATCTGATTTCAATTTTTTTTAGGATGACATAGCATCGAACAAGGAAAAAATCGGCTCTTGAGAATCATTACCAAACAGATTCAAAGCCACATAAATCGACTTACATGACAGACTCAAAGCCACAAAAATCAGTAAGGAAAAATCAACATCAATGCCAAACATCACTCAAGTCATTCAAATATCTGCAATCCCATTCTTTGATATTAGGAGAGATTAGGGTTTTTACCATAATATTTTGATCTCAGAACTCAACTTCAACATAGGTTCAGCTGAATGCAATAGCTGATTAGCTGTTCAGAAGGTTGTGGAATCAATAATAACACTCTACACCAGTCATAAAATACATAGGACCACAACCATTCAACATTTTACTGTGGGCTCGTGTTCATTGGTTCCAGAGCCCACTACACGGCTAATGCATTTAGCTGATCCTAATTCCTCAACTTCACCCACAAAATTAATAAGAGAACCCTCCCGATCTAATTTTCTTTACAGAAATTAACCAACTTCCGACTGCCAATTCTTCAAATTTGACCTAATGGAAATATATTGTGCTGTTCGAGAATTCTTCTCCAGGTCCAAGAGGCATTATTGTGGGGATCGATTTCCCAAAAGTTATTGTTTCTAATATATTTACCCTTCATGTCCTTAACCCATGGGTTATCAAATTGAGTAAAAATTTTTCAACCTAATTTTGCAAGACAAGCTCGATTAAACCACTAAAGTTTCTTTAATCCAATTTACCTTTCTTCTATAGAGCTACATACTTTATCCCACTTTAAAAGTGGAGAGGTTTTTTTTTTTTCTATTCATTTTCTTTTCTTTTTTTTTGCATTTTATCAATATTGTCCAAGGTTTTAGTGGGAATTTTAAATGCAATCATCAAGAAGGTGGGCATTATATTAACTGTCGGTTTGAGAAGGTTAGCTTTTCTTGCTAGAGTGTGTTCTGTTTTACCCCAGAACTACCATTTTGGCCAAACATCGTTGATTTGGTCAGCAAACCGCTGACCCGGATGGTCGAACAGTTCGAATCATTTGAATCATTCAACGTTTTTTGGCCATTTTTATTTTTTTTTTAAATTTTTTGTCAGAATAGACTGTCCATTTGGTTCGAACAATCGGACCATTCGACTCGGGAACCAAACCCCTGAATGGTTCATTGTCCGGTTCTTTGGTTTCCATCCACTTAATTTCTTTCAACCTTCTCCACCACCTTTTTAAAAGAATGTCCACCAACCCTATCATCAATGATTGTGGCACCTAGCTATTTCTCTTTTTATTTTCCAACGAAAATTTGAGAACTTTTGGGAGAATTTTTTTGTAACATAGAGCACTTAAAGTGCCATTTTTTTTTAAGTTTGGGCATTGTCCAAAACCCTAGAAAGCTTCTCAATAATGTATTTTATCTTCTAAGCTGCATGAAGGGAGGTTTCTACAAAAAGTAGATGGTCATCGGCAAATTGGAGGATAGGAATGATAGGACGTAAGGCTCTTCTGGCCTTACACCCTATATTCTCATTCTATTAACATGATCAATTGAAAACATTCATATCAAAGCTTCCTCACATAAAGCAAAAAGATAGGAGATGGGGTCTTCTTAACAAATTGATAAATCCTGCTACATGGTTAATTTAAAAGTTCTTGTTTGTGAACCATATATGAGGACTTGATATGAAGCAATAGTGGCGCATTTCATGACAAGTTGAATGCATTTCTCATTAAGTCCATGACTTTTTAATCAAATCCCATTCTCATTTCTCATCAGCCAATTATGGGTTTTCACTTTTTCAATAGAATCTGGATAATGCCCTAATGTTTTTTAAAGAAGGAAACATTCAGCCCATCTGGACTCAGGCTTTTAAACCATGCATTCAATTTAGAGCTTCCCATATATTCTTCTTACAAAACATCTCTTCTTAGGCTTTCATTTTGTTCCTCTACGAGGCACAGGCAGATAAGGTTAGTGACTTCATTCATATGCCTTTTACCCAGAGTGTGGAATCTGTTTTAAGAATAGAGCAAAACTTTCTTTTATTTCCATGATGTTTCTGGTCGGAATTAAACTCTTTTATGATCTTTAATTTTGAAGATTTTAGGGTCCATTTGGTTTGCAGTTGAAATCAGAATCGGAATCGGAATGGTATATTCTCATAGTCTGTTTGGTTCAAACAAGAATGAAAATAGGAATGAGAATCAGCAAGAATGAGATTTCATTCCCAAGGGAGGGGCAAAGTACGACCATTCCCTCAAACACAAATGGGAGAATGCCATTCCAGCAGGAATGGGAATAGCCGAAACGGAATTCCGATTCTGCCCAACCAAACAGTTGGAATTGAAATAGCCCATTCCAAATCCGATCCCAGAACTTTATTCCTGCGAACCAAACGGGGCCTTATTTTTATTTCGTCTTATCATTGCCATTGTGTGAAAGTACTTATTGTTCTCCAAGTTAATTTCATTTAATCTCGCTTTCTGGGCCCAATGAGCCTATTCCTGTTAGAGAATAATGTTAAGCTTTTTCTGTAACACCACTTTCATGGAGGAGTGTACCGTCATTCATAGATACAGTCTATCTTGCACCTCCTTTAACTTTTCCAAATTTATGTATTTTTTTGTCATGAATATTTTAATTTTTTTGTACATTTCATTTCTTTATTTCATTAACTATGTTTATGTTTGGCATCGATGCTGCAGTTGCCTGATGTGTGGGTTGGAGAAAATGGTGCTTTTTTTTGTTTGGAATCGTTGCTGTTAGGTAGAACGTTTCCTGGAGCAACAATTTTTTCTGTTTGGTACCAATGCTCCAGGAAACGTTTTCTGCACTTCTACCCATTATCTAGTGGCACATCATTGCCCTGTTGGCATTAACAAGCTACAGCTCCAGGAAACACCAAATTTGGCATTGCTCCAAGCCATGCCTTCCCGATTTCCAAGGCGTAGCTGGAGCACCGTTTTCTATGAAAAAACGGTTCCAAACAGATGGTTGTTTCCTAGAGCACCATTTTTTCCTATGTGGCACTGATGTGGCGTCGCTGCTCCAAGAAGCGGCAACGATGCCAAACAGCCGCTATGTAGTTAACTTTTTTTTTCAAAAATTGAACTCTTGACCCAAGTGACCTCAACTTCTTAAGTTTTTTTTTTTTATAATATTTTCAAACAAATTACAGGTTCACCACATTCCTTCAAGACCCCATTCGCTTTTCGGTAAGTTACTTACCCGGGTAAATACAATTACCTGGGTAAGTTTTTCCTGGGAAACACTTACCCAGGTAAGTGCATTTACCTATGCTCTTTTATTTCTCAGGTAAATAAGGCAATGACCATTTTAGCCATAGAAGTCAATTATTAAAAAGGGCATTTTTGTTCTATCCAAGCTTTGACAACTTTCTCCCTATGTGGGAAAGTTATTTACCCACGTAGGAGATGGATATTACTTTCGTGGGTGTCACTTACCCAGAAAAATAAACTTTCCCTGATCCCCACATAAAAATGAAAAAAGAATATAGGATTCTTGGCCAATGAAAAGCAAAATCCCATTAACAAAGTTTCTTCCCTCTCCAAATCCAAAACAAGAACACCCCCCAAATCTAAAGGGCTTAGGCCTCTACTTGAGTGTTAGGAGGGGGAGATGGAGAAAAAGAGGAATATGGTCCATACAAGGAAAGGTAGGTTCTATAAATACGCATTTGGATAAAGAAGCCTCGATCATTTGTTAGGATCTCGACTTGAATTTACTACCTCAAACTATTCATGTCAATTAGCCCATATTGGTCAACCAATCTTTTGAATCCTCTAGATTGGATTATCGTCACTCTCTTTTATTGTTCTCTTTCGGGCACACTTCCTTTCCATCATTATTCAAGTGTTCTTAAAGTCAATATTCTCACTGCGGGACAGATTCTGTCTCTCCACACCATCTTTGGTTACCCACTGCAACCCCGTAGCCGCAGGTTCCAGAGTGATGAAGCCAGGAAGAACATGCTTTAGCCAACTTCCGATTTTTTTAAGGTTTACCACTATCCAGCCTAATTGCTTTAGCCAACTTCAGATTTTTTATTTTTCCTTTTATAAACGATGTATTTATGTTCTCGTACATAGCATTAATAATATTATCTTTCCAAGTTTTGATCGACACCCCACACAGCAAACCCACATCTCAGCATGCAATGGAAAATCTCCCACACTTGTCATGGGGCATGCTCCTGAGAGCCGCACCTAGATGTTTACTTCTTCTTCAATCTTTGCTACAATGGGTTGAACCATTTTGCCACCTATGGAGCACCAAGTATCAACCAAGGTTTGGAATTTCAGTATGTGTTGAACTATTATCGGCCAATATGTATCATATCAGGAGCCTCCTAATATGCCATTACAGGGAGGGGGTGTTTCGGGGTCTTGACTGGTTCAGAGCAAGATTCAAAGTATCGATACGCCTCTGCATATCAGTAGAGGCATATAGATACTTAGATACACACAAAAATACTTTTTTTAGTTTTTTTTTTCAAAATTTGGTTTTTAGGGAATTAAAAAAAGGCATTCAAAAAATACGGTACAATACGTCTGATACGGGACATATCATATCCATTTTTTGAACCTTGGTTCAGAGAATGGATAGACCTTAAACTGGCCCCTCTGGACCTAATTTACAAAAAAAAAAAAAAACTAAAAAAAAAAGAAAGAAAAAGCTCTCGATACTGACCGATACTTTCTTTTGATATCTCAAAGTATGATTTTATCACTGACAACCTCGATGGGATTGGGATAGACCTCACCTAGAACTTTCGTATGCATGCAGAGTCTTAACCTGGCCATTCTTTAAGCTACTTCACAGTACGAATTGACATTCACAAGTGTGAATTTACACAAATTGATCGTTACAACGAGGATGAAGACAAGACAAATGAAGAAGAAAATGTAATTCAATTAGAAGAAGTTGTTGAACTGGCTGGTGAGAGAATCCCTGAGGTTTGAATACAGGCCATAGAGGGAATACTGACGAAGATTTTTCACTTCATACCATGAATTGAGCACAGCTTCATGCTTGTCTGTGCCTGAGAAGGCTAGCTGTATTCCTAAGCTGCAATCTGCAGACCCACCTCGGCCTTTACAACTATTCGTTCCGATTGCACAGTCTTGTTTGTTGAGGCAGACAAAATTAGACTTTCCTGAGCACGAAGCACATCCATCTCTCTTCCAGTACAAGTTCTGCAGCCTACCCTTCTGAAATTCGAGAACCTGCATTCACAATGGGAAAGATACCGAGTTATGTAATTTATTTTATTGTTGTATAATAAAATTTAGAGTTAATAGTTATCCATCCAAAAATAGAAAAGAAATAAGAAGAAAACGTGATTTTAAATTCATACCAACCCAGGTCTGATGTAATGATCTACTTACCAGAGTAAAGCTGGTTACCATATAGGTACTGTTTGCAACAAAAGCAGGGGGAGATCTTGCTGCATATTTCCTCCCCGCAAATGCAACCATGTAGCCATAATTCTCCTGACAAACCATAAACCAGTGTTTGCAAAGAATGTTAAGATGAGGTAGGAAAAAATGTTACCATATTAGGATCTTCTAATGCATGAGGTAGGAAAAAATGACATGAACAAAAATGATAAAAGTATAGAACTACAGAAAAATTTATAAAAGAATGTAAAGATGAATTCATCATATAAACAAGGACTAAACAGAGGTATAAAGATTTCATTCAAATCCTTCCAGACAATTAGGATACTCCTGAATGTAAATCGATACCTCAAATGGGTGTTCAAAACCCTAAATATACGTAAAATTCAAATCTAAGCACATTGAGATCTTATAATTATTCTTTAATCCATTCTTGTAACGTAAACTGTAACTTCAATTAATGTGTTATATACAGAATTGACAAAGGCACCTCGAGGTGTGACCCATGTGCATTATACTTTCTAGAAATGAACCTCAAGGGACAAGCCTCATGCACCTTTAATCAACAAAACAAATACGCATATTGCGATCAATGGCAAAGCCGTGCTTTTCCTGAAAATATTTCCAATGGAAAACAGTTTTTTTTTTTTCTTGTAATCAACAAAACAAGTATATAATCAATGACAAAGGTTCCATTACTTTCCTGAAAATGTTCCCAACATCTTTAAGAGACTAGCATTTCATCCTCCCTAAGTTTTGGCATCTTTGAAGATCAAGAAATCCTTCTGTAGGATTTCTCGAATAGCATTCTTTTGATTTGATAAAAGAAAGTCTGGCTTGGAAAATTCTGTTTTTCTTTTTTTTTAACTGGTAAATTTTGGTTGTTGCCAGGAATTTTCTCCTTTTCCCCTTCACTTGTTTCTTTTTTTAAGTGAGGATTGCCCAATGGGTTAAAATTTTGGAAGCTTTTTCTTCATTTTCAGTCAATAAAATACTTAATGGAGAGCAATGTTTTAAAACATGGAGGCGTGACGCGAGGCGTTCCATTACCTAGAGGCGTGAGGCGTCGTAGTTGAGAACACAAGAAGCGTAAGCCTCCTTAACTTGTGGGGGTTAGGAGGAAAAAGAAGAGAAAGGGGGGATCTCATTTTTCTTTATTTTTAATAAAAATCTTTTATATTAAGAAGAATAAAGATGCATAACATTAGTTGAAAGGGGGGGGGGGTCTTATCGAAGCGGAGCCGGAGCGGAGCAAGACCCCCCTAACTCTAAAAAAACAAATTGGACTGCAACGAAAAGGGGGCGAGGGGGTCTGGGGGGCAAACCACTTCCTTTCCCCTTATCTTTTCTTCCCTTCCCTTTCCTTTTCTTTTCTTTCCTTTTCTCTTTTTTTCTTCTCTTTCTTTTTCTTTCCCTTCCCTTTCCTTTTCTTTTCTTTCCTTTTCTCTTTTTTTCTTCTCTTCCTTTTTCTTTCCCTTCCCTTTCTTTTCCTTTCCTTTCCATTCCTTTTTTTTTTTGTCTTTTTATATCAGATGTGCATGAGGCGCATGAGGCATATGCCTCTAGCACACCTCATGAAAAAAGCGCAAGAGGCATACGCCTCAGAGGTATCTGCGCCTCTAGCATATACGCCTCAGGGCATTTTGGGAGCACCTCGCCTCGAGGCGCGCCTCCAGGCGTACGCCTCCCATGCCTTTTAAAACACTGATGGAGAGAGGTAGCAGACACTTCTGCAACTAAAACTTCAATGGAGAGAGCTTTTTCTTTTTTCTTTTTTTTTTTTCCGTGGGCACAACCACAGAAAGACTTCATTAAGCTTAACTTGATAGCAACACTTTGGGAAAGAAATCCAGTGCAATCAGGAGTAGGAGGGGCCTTTAGGGATGAAAATGGTAATGCTGTTGCTTTGTATTCAGGGCCAATTGGAGTTGGTGATTCATTGAGGGCAGAAGTGATGGCTGTAGTGGAACTGTGGAATGAGTGAGAAGAGCAAAAGAGTTGGCTCTATAATACATTAAAACTAACTTAATATAGAAAAAAAGAAATTATTAAAAATAATAAATTATGATTTTGTTATAAAAATAAATATGGGATTGCTATAAATAGTAAGTCCAAAATCATCACAAATAGTAATTCTAATTTACTAATAATATTAAGTTGCTAGAAATCTTAAAAACTTTATTCCTAAGACATCCACAAACTAGATAATGAATTTACAAATCTACAAAAAAAAAAACATATTAATATCACCATTTCCAAAAATTCTGAAATTAGTATAGGAGTTGGAAAATTATTTCTCCATTGAACCTTTCCTTGCATCATCTCCCCCAGTTCCGGGAAAAAAAAGGAAAAAAAACATAACCAAGTTTTCTGGCTAGGAAGAATCAAAATTTGTTCCAATTCATGATCTCATGGTCTATGCATTCTATACTAGGAACCATAAGGAAGAAGAAATTGAAATCTTTGGGGAAATCAACTACCAATCTCATCATTATTGTTTTGGTTAAAGTTATCCCTCAAGTGCTTGGATAACATCTTCAGGCACTTCTTTCACATGCTTAGAATAAAGCTTCAATGTTTCAACAATAGGCAGCTCCACATCTAGTAATCCTTCCTCTACAACTTGTTTGCATATCAACTTTAGGATACAAACATTACAGGCAGCTTCATGCTGACATTATTGCTGCACGTATAGTTGTTAGGTAAAGGTACATTTTCAGCCTTATTGCATTGGTAGACATCACATTCCCTCACCCAATCCATCACATCTTTCTTGATTCCAAGCCAATAATAGGCATCTCTAATTCAGAGAAGTGTTTTATGGTATCCTGAGTGTCATGCTAAAGGTGATTCATGGTGTTCATTAAAAAGAGTCCTCATACAAGAAATAGGGCCCAATAGGATTCTTCCTAGAGGCCAAAGTAATCCACCCTTAGCTTGATATCTTGATACCGTAAGGTGTTATCTTCTAGTTGTGTGTCTTAATGTGTTGTAGATAGGGATCAGTTAGACTTTCTTCCCTTACCTTTTTTTTTTTTTTGAAAAAAAAAATTAACCAGATTTCATTAAAAAAGCAGAGTATATGAGCAGATGGATAAGCCAATATTTCGCTACCCCTACCTTGCCTATCCATTCAGGCTTAGCAATGGATATAGCCAACATTTCAACATCTTCCCATCATGACAAGGCATCAATATCACCATTTTCTCTACCCCTCTTGTATTCTACTACATAACCGAACCCCATTAGCTTGGTTAGCCACCTCCATTGAGCTGGGGTTACAACCCTCTGGGCTCTGGTTCAACAGAAACTTAAGGCTTCTTTGGACTGTTTTGATGATAAAATGTTGTCCAATCAAGTAATAGCACCAATTTTGGAAAGCAACAATGATGGCTAACCAACTCCTTTTTGTATGTAGGTAGAAAGAGATTCTTGCCATGGAGTTCTTGGCTCAAATAAGCAATTGGTCTTCCTTTTTGCATCAGGGAATCAGTTGAAAATAATAACTTGTTGCAACACGAGTTTATAAAATCTAATAAGCACCAGCCAATGCACATATGTATCCATTGGCTCTAGTTGACAGTAACATTTATCTTTCAAAACAGCAGATGCTAGCACTACAGGCCTCTTATAACAATAAAAGGACAAGACTTCACACCTATTAACCCCCTATATTTGCAAAAAAGAAAAAATTCTTTTTCATGTTTTGTTGTCTTATGGTTTTGGACAAGGTCCATGATGCTAAGAATCCTTGAAAATATAGAGAAAACTGCATGAAAATAATAGTAGCTAAAGGAGAAAAAGAAAATGATAAGACTTATAAAACTGATGCAAGACTATGAAGCATCTTCAAGAAAAATCCATCTATCTGACCATGCCCCAAGAAAACAAACAAACAAACCCAGTTCATTTTTCTGAGAAGGAGAATATCAATCTTTCATGTCTCACAAGACAGGCCCTTGTGAATATTCATTCCTTATTATCACTTTCAAATTTAGCAGTTAGGACCTTTCAGGAATTAATTTTCATTATTCTCAGCATGATGTTGATTATTCTCAAAAACTAGTTGAACTAGTTGCCACTTGCCACTGCCTTTTACTCCCAACACTAATTGGATTGATACTTCCCAGTGACTTGCCTATGGAGTTTGAGGATACCTATACAAGAAGCTGATAGAAAAAGTAAACCGTTGTCAACCAACCCTCAACCATTTCTGGTGCTGTATGATATGGGAATAATGCAACCAGCCTCAAGTCAAACACTGCCCATGACCTTTTACCAGGCAGTTAATATCAATCCCATGTGTTCATGAAAAAAACGTCTGAAAGGGATATACAGGCTTATCATATGAGTGTTATTTTCAATGTACATCATGTATATCTTCAAATGCCCATACCTTCTTACTTGGCATGTTTCTGTTAATAAGACAACTGGAATTTTTCTCTTACTGTTTTGCAAGATAATAGACTACACCGTAGCACTTTCTTAAAGATTGATGATTGAGCAACAACTGATTGTCGGAAGATAGGACAAGTTCACTTGAAACCCATTCAATTCCTCTGCCTTGAGTGTCCTGATTGTCAAAATTTCTCAAATTCCCCTCAAAACTGGAAACATTTTATATGGACAATATTCAATAAAGAAGTAAAAGGGATTATAACATGATCCTTAGGGGCAACAAAGTACAGAAGTAATCCTTGGGCCCCATTGACTTCTCCACCCGCACTTTCTGATGAACAACCTGATCCACCACTACTAATACTCCAAGATGATATATTTGATATATCTGAACTTCCTCTTCATCTTCTTCCTCCAACTCATTCATAGGCTCCTTATCCTTGAGATCCACTTAATGAAAATCCCCATCAATCTCCCCTCCCCTCCCTCCAACAAGGGGTTAAGGTTCTATATCTCCTTGTAAAAAGATACACATGCAATGAGCTTGAGAGAATTCAACCAAACCCATATATCCACTCATTAGCATTTTAGCAATTAAACAAACCAAACATGTCCACAAACCATTAGCCAATAGCCAGAAATCAAGATACTCACTACTTTAATAGCCATCTCCCAATGTTACAGAACTACAAAATTTAAAGCATGCAAGCAAACAAAGAGGCAATCAAATTTACTGTTAGTCTTACATGGAGTAATATATGATCATATGTACGGGCATTGTCGATCTTCATTGAGTAGCTATCAGATTCCCCTTACAAACCCATCCAAGGGATCAAATTATCTCTTATTCACAGAGCATTTCTAAAGTTCTACCTAACACTAAGTGAAGCAGACCTCTTATGCCACATTAACTTGATCATCACCAGTCCGGGATTATCGCGTTGCGTCACTAAAAGTTTAAATGCTCCAATCAAAGTCAATAACCCTAATGAATTCACTATCTACATTTGCAAACCTACATTTATCAAAGCAAAAACCATAATAACAACAAAATAACGAAAAATATCAAAATTTGCAAACGTCGGTCTAAGCAACGAACTAATTTGACGAAACCTAGCAAGAAGTCCAAAATTCAGATTCCACGAATTGCAGAATCGAAACCATAGAACATAAACTTATCCTATTGAGAAGGAAATAAACCCTAAAATGCGTACCGGGAAGAAGTTGGATGTGGTGTTGATGGTGAGCAGAGAAATTTCATCCACCTTGGGCCTGAAAACCGCGAGCTGAGAGCTTGATGATGAGAGACCCAGGCGTCTATCGCATGGAGAGAGCTGCTGTGAACTATTGTAGAAAAACGAACTCCTCGAAGCGAAAGCGATCCCAAAAGTGAAACCGTCCGATCTCTGTATCTTCGTGTCCGAGCATGGCTGAAAAGCCCGATTCGTGTCGCTAGCATCAACATGCATCATCATCGTCATCACCATCACCAATATCAGCATCATCTCCATCATCGACATCTTTATCTCGAATAACTTCTTCTTCTTCTTCTCTTTCTTCTCTTCTTCTTCTGCTGTGCAGAGAGGAAAGTAACAGCAGTATACCGCCGTCCTCACCGGCTGCGTTTATTTTGAAAGAATGAACAATGAAGCACGCACGCTGCAGTAGAGGATTAATTTAAAGCCGTTAGATTAGAATATAATCATCATAATGTACGGTTTACAGTTTACCTCACCGGATGCATTACCCGGAGGGAATCGGACGCTCCAGATTAAATCATTAATTGGAGCGTTATTACTAAATCACGGCTCAAGAGCAGCAAATAATACTGTTTTGGATTTACGAAACAAGCAGCGAAAAGCGTAAATGTAGAGTAAGTGTGAACATGGTTCGGTCGGTTCTAGGGTCTACCGTGTAACCTATTTTATTCTCCTTTTTAAAAAAATGAAATATATTCTTTAAAAAATTATTTTTCAATAATAATAATAATATAATTTAAAACTTTTATTATATTTATTGATTAAATTGAATAATTTAATATATAGGTTATTATAATATATTAACATATTGTTCAAAGTTTATCATATTATAATTTAAATTTTATAAATACTACTTTTTATATTATTTATTATATATTCAAATATTAAAATGAAAAGGTTGAGAAATCATGAATTTAAATCTAATAACTTGAATCATTTAAAGATAAGATGATGACCCCACCTATTTTGCTTGAAAAAGCTCTCTATTTTTTCCTTTTTTTTTTTTTTGGTGGATCTTAAAGACAACTTTAGTAATATGGATGATCAATCAATTAATAAATCTTGGAAATTCCTTCCCGTAGAAGGGTCCAAAATGGGGAGCCACTAGAGTTCAAATCAGCCTCCCACAAGACTGTCCCCCACAATATCCCATCGCATATCTCTGTGGTGTATTGGGAACATTTCCTGGTGATAATATCAGGAATGATGATGTCTTAGGGAGATATTTCCAATACACAGTGGGGATATGTTGTGAAACATTGTGGGGGGCTGATTTGGTCTTGAACCACTAAAATTAATTTTGATGCCTCTCATGACCCCAATAGTTTATGTATAACTTAGTATTGCTAGAAATCATCATGATAAAGTTTTGAATCTTAAAGCCTATTGATTGGGTGTTACTAGACTTGTTCATGGGCCATGTAGCTTGACGGGCTGGCTCGACCTAACCCATCTTAAATCGGGCTTGGACAAAATTTTAAGCCCACAGGCTCGGACTCAGGCTCTAAAAATAATACCTATCAAAGTTGAGCTTCTAGCTTTATATAAGGCTAGGCTTGGTATCGGGCCTAGTAATTTTCTGTTTATAAAGAGGCAAAGTTTGGCCCAAACCCAGCTCGATCCATGAATAGGTCTAGGTGTTACCACTAGGGGTGCTCACGGTTCGATTAACCGAACCATGGGGTAATTTTCTAGATCAAACTGATAGGTTTGATTTTTACATTTAACCGAATAGAAACCAAATTGATACAACCAGTTAACCGGTCGACTGGTTAATCGTAGTTTGGTTTTTGGTTTTTATATGCCCTTAAAATAAAATAAAAAAGGAAAAACACAGTAACTAGGATCGCTAGTGTCATCGAGATGCATTAGCCTCTAACCCGCAGCCGAGCCTCCAATGTCGTAGGCTGTCGATGAATCGATCAGAGGGTGGAGCGCCAAAGGCCAAAACCCAGAGAGAGAGAGTTTAGAGAGAGACTGAGAGGTGAGAGAGAGAGAGCTCAGAGAGAGACAGAGAGAGATCTCAAAGAGAGAATGAGAGGCGGGAGAGAGAGAGAGAGAGAGAGCTCAAAGAGAGACTGAGAGGCGAGAGAGAGAGTTCAAAGAGAGACTGAAAGGCGAGAGAGAGAAAGCTCTAAGAGAGACTGAGAGACTGAGAGAGAGAGGGAAAGAAAGGCCTGCACAGCAGGTGTCAGAAGTCAGACGACTCAGACTATCAGGCAGGTTGTTCGCCACTCGAAAGTCTCAGCTCTCAATTTGATAGTCTGAACACTCTCAAAATATCAAACATTTTTATTAAATTTAATATATATATATATAATATTATATAAAAATATATATCGATCGGTTCAATTAACCGCCGATTTTTTAAACGGTTAACCGAAATCAAATTGACCATTCGATTAACTGATTTTTCGGTTTTTTTTGCTCACCCCTTATTACCATCATTAATTTTGCAGGAGTGTGTTGAGAAGCTCACCATATCACCCTTAACTTTAGAAACTTGCTGGTCGTCATCAAAAGACAAGCTTATTATGGTTGTTTAAGAAGGTGGTGGGTCCCCGTGTAGACTGAAGATTGTGATTGATGAGTGTTATCATTTGTGCAGCCCCATGGACCGTGGAGTCAGATATCGTTTGAAGTAAAATGTAGGGAAATATGATCTATACAAGGTTTGTATAGGTTTTCCTACCTTTTCCTTTCTTTTCCTAGTTTTTTCTTCGAACTAAACATAACATAAGTGTTTCTAGGTTGCGCTGAAATCTTGCCTTTATTTGTTTTTGTGATGTTTGGGATTGTACTACCCCTTGGCTTATATAGCACAATTTCTGGTTTTACCGAACAAAAAAATGAGAAGAAAAGTTTGTAAGACAAAAAAAGTAGATTGTCCTTCCATAATCTCTTTCTGTTGTTATTCTTATGTATCCTCCGTATTCCTTCAACTCCCATCCTCCGCTCTTCATTTCTCTGACCTTAATTTCTATTGTTTCTTTTTTGTTTCCTCTTCAATTTTGCCTATCAAACCGGTATATTTCCATTTTCATGTAGAAAGAAGATTGGTTTTTCTAACATTTTCCTTCGAGTATTCTAATGTCTGAAACTTTTGGTTATCTGTCTCTTTGATCTTCGCAACTTATTTTATAAAAACAAGAAGTTTTCATCTTTGCTTGGGACCCGCAATGATACATGACCACTTTTGACTTTTGTTGCCCAAAGTTTTTGGCTTACAGAAATGGTTTTGAAATTGATGGTAAAAACAACACCATGTGTTAAGGTGGATGATTTATTCTCAACCAACAATGCACCTCCTTTCCATTTTACAAATATGTATAAACTAATGTGTGTGTTTTGTACATGGCAATTTTTGATAATAATGATGCTGATATTAAATAATATATTTTCAAAATTTTCTATATTTTTTTATATTTCCATTTTTATAAAATTTATTCTTATTTGTCACACTTATTTTTGTTTAATATGATGAATATATGATAGTAGAGATGTGCCCAAACTTTTTTATAAATTTTTGTATTTCTTATATTTTATATTTTTCATTTTTTTTTAATTTTTATTATTATTTAATTATGACATCAATGGTTGACACATTTAACCCAAAATGTTGAATTATTGACTCGCCTCCAAATAGGAAAATAAGTAATTTTTGAGTTGGTTTTAAATTTGTATTTTATATTTAGCATCAATAAAAACAATTATTGTTTGTCATACTTATTTTTATTTAATAATATGATTAATTATTATATGATTCAATGAAATTTTCATAGTTAATATCCTAAATATAAGACTTAACGAGAGGGAATTGAAGGAGGAGAAATGTAGTAGTTTAAATTACATTTTGTGTCCTCACAATTAGAGAGTGACCAAATTCATAAATATGGGTATTCTAGTAAAAAATAGTATTCAATGAATGTTAATAGAAAGGGTCATTTCCTTTAACACCCCCAATAGTTTTCATGGATTTACTTAAACCTATCCTATAGTTTTCATTTTACTAAAACACCCCTATAGTTTGCAACCTATTTATTTAATTGACCTTTCACTAAGAAGTGTTTTGTTTTGCCATCTAAAAGTAATAAGATGATCATCTAAACTGAGTGGAAAATGTTTAAGAGCATGGGCCCATGGTTGTTTATTTCAAAAAATTACCCTGATATAAAAAACAAAATTGACCAAATAGAATTAAACAGAATAGCTGCTTTTATCTTACTGTTAACAGTCCTGTTAATCCAATAAGGCTATGTTTGATTTGAAGGAAAAGGTAGGGAAAGGAAGGGAAAGGTAAGGAAACCTACATAGCCTAAATGAACCTGCAATATTATAAAAATCTGATAACAGAGGCCAAGTCTCCGGAGGGCTTTCAAAAGATCTCTGATTTAAAGTAGATACTAGTGTCTTGGAGTCATAGTAGATCAAAAGGTTTGAGAAACCTCTGCTGGTGACCCACATACTACATTCACAAATAGCTACTAGTTCAGCAGTTTATATAAGCAGATTTAGCTTTACAAGGTCCACAGTTTGCAATTAAAAGAGAACTAGAATCATCTTTTACTAGAAAACCAAAACCACTTGAACCATCCTTTGAAAACCCACCATCTGTAAAAGCTGTACAAAATGGTCCCAAAAAATTGCTTTGATTTGCTTTAGGAGTTGAAGAGTCTTCCGATTCTTTCTGGGAAGCTTTCTGAACTTCCTTCATCAACCTGTTAGCAGATAAGAGGGTGAGAGCACCATTGGGGATAATTCCATTAAACACAAAATCATTTCTAGCCTTCCACACCATCCATAACAGAACATCTGAGAACTCCAAGTCAGGCCGAGTAGAATTAGAAATAGCATCTAACTGGGCTGTCCACTGGCTCCACCATTCTGCAAAGGATTGGACTGAAGTCCCACTCGCATTTAATCTACCCCCAAACCACAGAAATGGCAATTTCCATTAGACCCAATACCTCTACCAGATAAAACTGTTGACACTGCTGTTGTGGCAACATTTCCAAATGAAATGTTTAATCTCTGGGGGATTCTGAGGGCCCAAAGTTCTTTCCACTGAGCTTGAGTTAAGACGACATGACATCTATTAATCTCATCAGAGGAATTCAGTTTACATGCTACATGGTAGGTTGATTTTACTGAAAATGTACCTTTTGTAAGAGAGTTTTGAGGAGATTCCAACAATCTACCAACATGATCTCACACCGCACATCTCATACATGGCAGGTCACAGTCTCATGTATTTTATTGGCAGAGAAGATCCCGATTCCCTTTGAGGAGAGGACTAAAGGAAGTTTTTTTTTTTTTTGTAAATAATTCATATAATTGGATTCAGAATCGACTAGGGCTGAGTTTCAATA